CTAGCTTCCATGACTTTTTGAGTGAATAGTAACGTTAGTATATGAAAAATAGTACTAGTTACGAGAATAGTAAATGTACACGTGAATAGTACCTGTATGTGTGAATAGTACTATACGTTGAATAGTGCTGGCTTAACGGGCTCAGCAACAGTTAACGTCGAATAGTAAACTATTCCACTATCAACTGCGAGTTAGCTATTTTACTATTCATCACTAAGTCGATTTTTTGCAACGTCTTTCCGAGCGGACATGCACCAACGGACTCGTCGTTTAATGTTCTCGTTCTTTCGTGTATATTTATTTTTCAAAAATATATCCACGGATCCGGTACCGCTATCTGACCGGCTGAAACCAGGCTCTGATAACCACTTGTTTAGGATACCGCAGATAAAAATGACTAGAATTAATTAAAGCAGCGGAAAATATTGAAAATGGACACGCAGAAATTTACGTGGTCACCCTCACAACTGTTTAGGGCTACGTCCACGGGACCAACTCCGAATATTTGGACCAACTCCGAATATTTCTTCCACTATTAAAAATAGTAGGCTTACAAAGAGAGTAATACAAAATAGTGGCACTCACAAGTGTTTCTCAAAAACACCCTAATAATCTTCACTATTTTCTAAACCCTTAGTTGTAAGAACCCTTTCTTAAAACTCATAAAAACTCTCTATTTTTCTCACTTATTCTTTCGTTGCTCTTGTTGGTGCATCTGTGCTGAATGCTCCTGCCTCTATTTATAGGCAAAGATTTGAGAGAGCCGTGCATTGCTCATGCACGGCTCTTCATTATTTTCAACTGGCATGTTGCAGATGGTTGGTTGCCAAAACCTTTTTGCCAACCATTCAATGGTTGGTTGCCAACCTTTGATTTTTTTTTTTCTTTTCATAATTGTGTGGGTCCCACTTGAGTGGGCACACCACCACCAACAAATAACTAATTAATTAATCTATTTATTTCTTACAAAAGATAGAATTGTGGTGGCTATATAATTTTCTAAACTTGTGAAATTGACATATGTTTACTTCCCGAGTTAATTAACCAAAGGAAGCAAGACGAATTATCTTTAAGTATTATAATATAATTGCTCCGTTTAATTCTCAAATTTATATAATTTCTACAAATGTTGTATTTGTGGACCAATTTTATTGATTTTATAAAATATATGGAATTTCTTAATCTGTTTTTTTGTCAAGAAATAAAATTCATCAAATTGAAAGGATAATTTAAAATAAAATTAAGTGTTTACAAAAAATATATATATATACAATTAAAAACACTATTAATAAAAAAAATGATGAATTTAAGAAATCTAATCTCATTTCTTTCTCTTTCAAATATTGAAATCATGATATTAATGAAATTTATTAACTGCACAACCTACTTTTTTCTCAATTAAATAAAAGATTAAATTACTTTTGTACAAGTTCACAGAATGTTCAAATTTTATCATTATAAATTCATTTGGCTGCTGAATTAAGCGAACAATGGTCCAATTATCCAAACAAAAAACAAACAATAATAATAAAAAAAAATTATCCAAATGATGTGCTGAATTAAGGGAACATAAAAACAAAATGAGAAAAAGTCATTTTGCTGCAAATATATGAACAAGAAATCGCCAGAAAGGATTATAACAATGGAAAAGAAGGAAAAAAAATGAAAAAATTACCAAATTATTACACTAGGTGAGCGAACGACCTGGCTTCTCCGGCGACAGGGACGAAATCCAGTGACGTAGTGGCTTCTCCGGCAACTGTCGCTGCAACAGAGAGGATGTCTAGCTACTGGAAACAGAGAGAAAAGGAGAGAGGCGTGCTACGGTAGCGCCCAAGGCGACCAAGGGGTTATAAAGCTCTAATTTTCCAAGGGGTTATAAAGCTCTAATTTTTTGCTACTGACACATCAGTCACAATTCTTTTAAAAATCAATTGCAATTATTAATCCTGCGATGTCGTTTTGTAATCAAACCAATTGCGATCGACTTACGACCACAACAATCAGTCGCAAATCTGTCACTGATCCCTTGCAAACCAGAAACTAAATTTGTCACTAAAATGCAGCGTACAATTTAACGATGGACTGTGAAATGGTCGCACATCTGTCGTAAAATCGATCACGAATTCATTACAATTGAGTCGCAAAATAAAAACCAAATTGGCTGGAATTATTAGCACTAGAATTAGCTACAGATATGCAGTCGATCGCAAATCCATCGCGAAAGTTGTCAGAGATTGGTCGCAAATCTATCGGTAAATATTAAATCTCTATAACTTCAACATTCATCACAAATGGTCGCAACAAAATCTATCGGTAAATATTAAATCTCTATAACTTCAACATTCATCACAAATGGTCGCAACATCATTGCAATATTGCGATCGACACGTGGTGATCGGAAAAGTCGATCACAAAACCGCTTTTTTTTGTAGTGGAATAAGTTGTTCCTTTGAGGGTCTAGGGAGACTTATAGAAAGTAATAGGCTGGAATTATCATTACACCACAAAAGTAGGTGGTCTTATGATCTCGAAACGTTTATGTTACTTGGAAGAGGGCATAGATATTAATGGACTCCTCCCCCTTCTAGATACATCCCTTAATAGGTTGGAAATAGAATTTTGAGTTTCATAATGTTGTTCAATGGTGTTGATCCCAATACTAGTGTCTCGCCCTATTGATTACTTCAAATCTAGCTTGCTTTCTTTTTGTTTAGTCATTTACCTGTTTGCTTTATACTTAGTTAATTTAGATTTAAAAAATTCTCCTTCTAATTTTTGTACAATACATCTTGGATTCAAAATTAATATTCAGTCTCCTTATCCCTAAAGACGATATCTTTTATATACTACTTGCACAATCCGTATACTTATAGACTCAGTAACAATCATGGCCAGTGACCGATTGTGGTGGCTAGTGGTAAACAATAACTGTGGTCATGGAGACCGATGATTAATAAATTAAAAAAATATGCATTTATAAGGTTATAATAAATTTGTCAACATCCAAAAAATATTTTACTCTTTCGAAAATAAGAAGTCATTCCTTAAAAATAACTTAGCTTTCCTTTGATCATGAAAATATTTTTTCTATTGACTTATTTTTATGAATATCCCAAACAATGAAAAATTATAAAAAATATTTTTCTATAAATTACTTTACGGAAATAAACAGAGCCTTAGTTGAAAAAAAATATATGTCGCGCGCGTGTATATATATATATAGCTTAGTACCAAAAAGAAAAAGAAAATTGGGAATTTTATATCAATATTTACTTAACTATGTATACAACCACATATAGGATGTGATAGTAACAAGCTAAATCTTTGGCACTACGTTTCTACTTACTATTGTGTTTTTTATAAGATAAGAATTTTATTATATTAATGTAAAATTATTTTTTTAAAAGATTATTTTATTATCATAATATCGATCATATATATATATATAATATAGTTAATTACTACTTAAAGAGAAAACAAATAATTTTAAAACTCTTAAATACGTAAAAAAAAGTTTTTGATTTAAATTGGTAATCAAATTTTTTTTCAAAGGAATATTTTAAATTAAAAAAAATGATAATCCAATTTGTAATAATATTTCAAAGTCATACTTATTTGTTTATATATATATATATTAACTTATTTTCATTTTATTTATTTATTTAATATTTATTTTTTAATTTTTTTGAATTTGTGTATTATTTAATTTACATTTCAGATATTTAAATTAGATAAAATATAATTTAAGAAAAATAAAAGTTAGAAAAAGGAAAAAAATGTTGAACATTCACTTATTCATATGAGAATTTAATATTGAATCTCTATGCATAAATCTTAAATAAGTTATTAGTCTATTAATTTATTTTAAAAAGTGCAAAAATAAAACAAAAGATAATAAAAGGAACGGAAATATATTTCTGGTGAAAAATCATCAAAATATTGTTCTTAGAGCAGTAACTCCTGAATACATTTTAATATTAATATATAATTAAAATTGTTAAAAAAGCATATGACTTCTGGTATTGGACTATCAGCCTAACTTAAAATTACGATTAAGTTCCAAAGTTAATATCTTTTAAACAATGACTTTGGAAAGCTAAATTTCTAAAATAAAAAAAAATACTAATAAAGTCAAGAAAGTTAAAAATATATCTTAGGAAAGGAATATTTGGGAAAAAAAATATAATATGTTTGGTTCTGATTTTAAGCAACTCTTTTATTGGAGTAGTATAAATATTTCTACTATCTATATGTGAGTTTAATGATTCTGCTTCTGGGTTTATTTTTGTGACAGCTTAAAATTAAAAATTCATTGAACAAAGTCATTTGATTTATAAATCTAAAATTCTTATGCAAGCTGGTTCAAGGTTGCATGTTATTCCTTTCCAACAAAGATAGTTTTGGCATGATTTTAGTTCCTTGACAAACTTGATGAAACAACTCTTCTTTTCCAAACTTAAGAGTTACTTGGCCGTTTTTTATTTCATGATTCTTTCTTCTTTTTTTAATTTTTTTTAGATCTTTATTTAATAGATTAATGGTCTTTTTTTTTTTTTTTTTTTTTTTTTTCTTCTTTTTTTAATTTTTTTTAGAATCTTTATTTAATAAGATTTAATGGTCCCTTTTTTTTTTTTTTTTTTTTTTTTGACAAGTATTAATGGGTCCCTAATTTGAATAGGATATATCATATTAAAAATATTTTGCTAATATAGTCTTTGATAATAACGTCTCTCTAAGATTCGTTTTTTTTTTTTTTTTTTTTTTTGAAAAGTATTAATGGTCTAATTGAATAGGATATATTCATAAAAAAAATTTGCTAATATATCTTTGATAATAACGTCTCTCTAAGATTCCTTCAGAAAGAAGCCTATTTTATGCTTGCCTTGCTTTTACAGGCGGTATAATGTGCTTTGCCTCTTGTTTGTTATCAGGATATATAATTATATATTACATTGTTTTCTTAATTAATTAAATCTTTTCGTAAATCATATGAAATATAGGTTTCAACAACATAAAGACATTATATAACTTGTTGCTATTGCTAATATAAATACATTCATCATTCTCAAATTATTTCAATAGAGAGAGAGCAAAAAGTGTACCAAAGAATGGAACAACAACGACAGCTGCAGGTACCACTTGTTGTTGTAGTAAAAGATCATTCAGGCAACAAGAAAATTTCTCGTGAGTTAGCAGAATCCCTTCGTTGTCCTCTTATTGATGAAATCGATTTCACTCAAGCCCTTCAAAAAATATCACTTCCAAGTTCAACCATAACTCAAGCCATTAATGAGCCTGAAAGCGATTTAGCTTTTGAGTTTGTTTCTCAAATTGTTTTAACCCATCTCAAGTTGAAGTTGAATGTTGTCATTAACTTGTTGCTATACAATGATGCCCGTCTCAATAAATTGGTAGAATTGGAGGATTCTGAAAACGCACGCTTAATCTTCATTCAAAGCAAAACAAATAATCGTCAGGATGATGATAGCGATCGACATATTTTAAAGGTAATCACCGATGACGAGTCATTTAATGCAAAAGAAGTTGTCACCAAAATGTTTGATTTATGTTCCCACCCTAAGAAGGGTAGTCACGAGAAAATTATCAAAGAACCAACAAATGACCATTTGCACGAATTGGTCTTATTTCAAGAACCAAGGTTAAATAAAATCCAATGCAAAAGATGCTTAGAGCTTGTTTCTGGCCGCTCTTACGAATGTGTCGAGTGCAATGAATACACCTTTCATAAATTCTGTGCAGAGGCATCTCCAAACGTACGGGATTGTCCTCCTTGGTTGAGGGAAAAGAAGCCTAAGCATTATGACTTCCCAAGGACATATAAATGTAATAATTGTGAAGAGTTTTTATATGGTTGTTGTGATTGCCTCTTCCAAACCAACCTTGAACTTGGATTTTTGCCAGCTATTCTTTATGATATTGATGAAGCGCATCAACACTTTTTTAATCTCATTATCATGCCCTTCAAGTATAATTATCAATATAAATGCATTATTTGTGATGAAGTGGGCAGCTCAGTTGGCTACAAATGTTATGATTGCAACTATGATGCTCATGTCAACTGCATATTGCCAATAGGTGAGTTTAAATACCAAGCATGAGAAATTTTATGTTGCCTGCAATAGAATATATGCAAAATTTTTTTGTTTGATGCAGTTGAGAAAACGCAAATTAAAGCGTACCAAACAATTTTCGACCTGTTCAAAACTATCCATGTTGATAACATCGAGGTTCTCAAACATCTGATATATGCTAAGGATGATCAACTACCGCTCTATGATGGTGCTGCCAAGAAAAGGGTAGATTAAACATATTCCTCCTGACTCCAAAGTTATCTATTTATTTGTTTGACAAATTTTTTGGTTGCAGTCAAGTTTTGATGTGCTTCGAAGGAAGCATGTGTTGCTATACATCACAGACCTTGAACTACCCAAAGATGAGCTTCCAACCCTGAATGGAATGTACAATGAGGCCCGGCAACTTCCATTAGCGACTGAAAGTAATTATGAGGTAGTATGGTTTCCGGTGGTGGACTGGTCAACGCCATGGAATAATGCACAACAAAAACAATTTAAATATCTCCAATCAAGGATGCCATGGTTTTCAGTCTATCACCCTTTACTGCTAGACCCTGCAGTTATCAAATACATCAAGCAAGTCTGGTGCTTCAACAAGAAGCCTTTGTTAGTGGTCTTGGATCCACAAGGCAAAGTAGTGAATCATAATGCTTTGCACATGATGCGGATTTGGGGAAGCTTAGCTTTCCCTTTCACGAGCCTGAGAGAGGAAGCACTCTGGGAAGAAGAAAGCTGGAGTATTGAGTTAATGGCAGATGGCATTGATGCTAATATCCCTGCATGGGTATATTAGTGTAACTCTATCTAAAAGAGCATAGATGATGAATTTAGCATGCGATACCATGTTTTCAAAAAAAATAAAAAATAAAAAAAACTATGTTGTAAGCTTTTGCTTTTTAATTGATACTAAATTAGCAACTTCTTTGGCGTTTCAGATACAAGAAGGGAAGTACATATGCCTGTATGGCGGAGAGGACATCGAATGGATCCGCAGATTCACTACAACAGCAGCTGCAGTTGCCATAGAAGCAAACATCCAGTTAGAAATGCTATATGTTGGAAAAATCAATCTAAGAGAGAAAGTGAGAAAAATTAATACAATAATTCAAATAGAGAAACTTAGCCATGTATTATCAGACCTCGCATTGATGCAGTTCTTCTGGTTCAGATTAGAAAGCATGTATTACTCCAAAGTGAAAAATAACAGAACCGTAGAGAAAGATTCAATAATGCAAGAGATAATAACAATGCTTACCTTTGATGCAACTGAGCAAGGATGGGCTGTGGTTAGTAAAGGATCAGGAGGTAATGATCAAATGGCCAAGGCAAAGGGTTCTCTAATTTTGAGAAGCTTTGACGAATTTCGGTCATGGAAGCATATTGCAGATGAAAGGGGTTTTGTGCCTGCGCTTATCGAATACCTGCTTCTACACCAGAACAAACCTCACTGCAACCGGCTGATTATGGCTTTCAATGAAAATCTTCCTAGACAGCAGTTATGTGCTGAATGTGGCCGCCCTATGGAGATGTTCATGATGTACCGCTGCTGCGATGAATAAGGCTACAGCTCCTTTTAACTTATAGCAGCATTATTGTGTTCGCAATAGGCTACACCCACACATTTGCATATATAGTTTGAGCTATGACTGGGATTAAATAATCGAAGCTTATTGTACTTTGCTATTGAATAATTAAGGTGTTCAATTATCTTGTGCTTCTTTTTTTATTTTTTTATTTTTCTCCGTAATTGCATTAAGTTCTTATTTCACTTTTTTTTCCCCTTACGAACAAAACTAATAATAATATTGTTCATCATGGGGAGCGTACATTCAGGAAAAAATGAGCTATTTGGTTGACTTACATTGTAATTCCTCATCACCCGCATCAACTACTGCGTCCTGTAATTTTCCATTTTTTCATGGAAAAAAAAAAAAAAAAAAACACTTATAGAAAGAGACAATCATGACCCCCAATGATATTACCTTTGTACAAAAAAAAAAAAAAAAAAAAAAAAATTTCATGGAAAAAAAAAAAAAAAAAACACTTATAGAAAGGACAATCATTGACCCCATGATATTACCTTTGGTACAAAAAAAAAAAAAAAAAAAAAAAAAAAAGATTAATGTTACTTGACAGAGCATAAATAAGAAAATGCAGTGCTATTTAAAACTGGCTGTTCAATATATGCTTACGAAACATGAAAAATCTCGCACTTGGATTATACAAACAAGGCTTCACCAGTAAGAAGCAACAATCAATCTAATTGTTAAAAAGCAATGTTACAATTCCAAGTTTTCAATTGAAGCTACGCCGTACTGATTAATCTGTAGCTTATAACTCAAAGAAGGAAAAAAACAAGAATTCAAGTCAATTTTACACTACTAAATATCAAAGTCATCAAAAACTTGACAGGTTTTTTCGCAAATGTACGAAATCGCAAACAAGTAATAAAGAGTGAGTAGTATCGTTACCACAAGGATTATATACTAAGTACCAAAATTGTGTTAACCTACTATTATTTAAACCACAAAAAGGAGAATAGATTAAAAAATATAATAAAACAATAAATAAGAAATCAAGCAAGAATATTTGATGAAAAGAAATCAAGGATTAAAAGCTACCAGAGATTTTGACTTCACTTAATTCTATCCAATTTTTTTTATTAGTTTGATAATCAATTTTAATTGTTCAAGTAGGGAAAACAATTTTAAAATCACTAACAAGCTCTCCCGATGTATTGTTAGTTATTTTAACCGGTCTAATTACTTATCTTCCAACAGTGCAATTAAACATGAATTAAATCATTAAGTTTTATGGTTTGTTTATGAATTCATAACCTAAGGTCGTTAATTTATGAAAAACCTCCATGAGTCAAACCATATAGCTTCTTCATCGAGTTATTATTCTCATATAATTTATTACCTTTTTCACATCAAAAACCCTTCTTTCGATAGTGACTAATAAAATAAATCAATCCAGGGGAGAAATTCTATCTGGAAGCATTAAGTTCAATAATAAGTTATATCATGAACAAGGAAAAGCAAATCTAATATTATAAATTGGAATCAAAATTAAGCTACATATTATAAATTGGAATCCCACAAATTAAGCTTACATCAAATCCCTAGTATGAAGAGTTTAGTTCGACATAGTATTAAATAAACTCAATTAAACTTGTAATAATCCTATAAAGAATAATAAAACAATAAAAAGAGAGTGTTAGAAATAAAAAGATTAATGAAATAAATCAATTCAGGGGAGAAACTTTGTCTGGAAGCATTAAGTTCAATAATAAATTATACTTTGGAATACTTGAAGTCTTAAAGAGAGAGAACAGTATCTAAAAAACAATAGAACAATAGATGATCATGGCTAGTCTCTCTCTTTATATAGACTTTCTAGAACATCTTCGTGTTCATTTAGGAAAGTGAATCTCTATTGCATAAAAAATCTTTTGGAGATAAAAAACTATTTAGGCTTTATATTTCTTCCCAATTAGGATACTCCCACCGTCTAAATAGGACTTCAACTTTAATAAGATATGTCCTACAATATCTTCATGTAGGCAGCACGGCCTTAATATGAAATTTCGACCCAAGCCAAACTCTGCAGAGTAACACGAGGGTGCTGGGTAGCACGCCCTGGGGGTGCTGCTCGCTGGAAGTCTTTGACAATTGATCTTCACTTGCATTTTTGGTTGTTTTCCTATAAAAATCTTACAAAATTCCTCAAGATCAAGTGAAATATGATTCAAGGAAGCTTTATAGAAAAACATAAATAAAACTTATTGAAGTAATTAAAAATACTAAAAATCCTAATAAAAACTATATTAAAAATACTATAAAAATAACACTTATCAAAATTTCCTAAACTTAAAACATTGCTTGTCCTCAAGCAACAAAACTAAAAAAAAAAAAAAAAAAAAAAAAAAAAAAAAAAAAAAAAAAAAAAAAAAAAAAAAAAAAAAAAAAGCTAAAAAAAAAAAAAAAAAAAAAGCTAAACAAACTAACAAATCTAGCTTAATATGGTTGGGGATAATTATTCACAATTTCAAAAATATAAAGAATTATTAACATGAGAATAAATCAAGTGTTTCCAATGTTAATTATATTCTAGTAAAAATTCAATTTTCAATAAAACATATTCCTTAATTTACACATAAGTTAATAAGATTTTCAACACCAATAATTATTTAACCTATGACAAATAGAATATGAATTTTCACAAAATTATTTAACCTTTAAATAAGATGTTTAACAATATAAATCCAACATTCCCATAGGCAAAATTGGTAATCCCTTCTCCGTAAATGAAATGCACACAAATCTAGCTTTTAGGGATATACTTTAGTTAAACAAGGGAAATGATGAAATGATAGACAAAAAGCACAAAGAATCATAATCTCAAGGTTTTCATTACATCAAAACATTCTTTTTTTTCAAAAGAGAGATTATTATAGAATAATTTACTAGCACAATATTAGAGACCATTTGGCAAGGATTATTCTTCTTAATATTAATATTTTGATAACAACTTTCTTGCTATAATTCTCCAAACTTGAATTTTGATTGCTTTTTATTTCATGGGGTGATCTTCTTTTTTTTTATTATTTTTTTGATTGCTAGCATTAATGAATTAACTCTCCTTCATTCTTTTTTTTATATATATTTTAATGTAACAAAACCTCATAATTATACATTCTTGTACTTATGGTAAGGATTTAAACTTGGTTTAATGGCTAGGTTAAACAAAGATAAACAATAAAATTTGGATATAGGCTTCAAATTGGTTGCAATGATCATAATTTAACTTAGTGGCCTAGGCTAAATATGAAGTTCAACAAAAAATGTCTAAATCATCTCTTTCTAAATGTAAGCATTTAAAATTTTGCCTCAAAGAGAATTCTAATTATGTAAAGCATTTTTTAAATTTTTGCCTGCAGAAGAGAATTCTATTTGTTCTAGTAGAATGCCCAAGATTAATAAAATTTTTTATAAAACATACCATATATACATAAATATTATAACAAATCAGTGTTTCATTGATCTTAAAACAATGTGTTAACTAAAAAATAATCATGTTAAGTTAACATTTAATTAAGTAAATATACTAGACTTGAAAACAACTAAAATTTTCACACAGGTTACTAATATTATGAATAATTTTTCAGCTGGCTGCAGCAATTAATTCCAACCCATATTAAAGGCTAATAATGAAATAAACAAAAACTAACATTTTTTCTTTCCGCCCCAACTTATTCTAGCACATTGTCCTAATGTTTGTGCAAAAATACGACCACTTCTCCAAACTTATTCATTATTTATTATCAAACAAGGGTGCAAAAATAAAAATAGAGCTAAGACACCTTACCACCAAAGAACACCTTACCACCATTGTATTGAAAAATACAATAATACTCATGGAAAAGATTGGATGAGAGCCGGGCTAGATTCTGAAAGTGGAAGAAACTATGGAAAAGAAAAACGAACAAAATATCTCGCATACTAAAAATAAACTAGAACAATGTTCAAAACAAAATAAAACAATAGGAGTTGTAAATAACAAAAAAACAAAAAATAAATAAAAAATAGGAAGCATTTTCACTTTGCAAGTGGTGGAGGAGATTAGAGAGAGTTGGAGAGGATGTTTGTGGAGTTATAGTGGGTGGTTAAGGCTTTTAAAAGAGAAGGGGAGACTTAGGGTTGGATTTGGACGCGATTTCTGAAGTCAACTCGCCCTTGTAAAAACTGAATCTGCAGCATGGCTTGGGGGTACTGGGTAGCACAAGGGTGCTGGGTAACACGGCTTGGGGGTGCTGGTAGCACGGCCTGAGGGTGCTAGAGCCTAACTATGGGCGTAATTTTTCTCTGGAGACAGAAAGAGGGCGTTGGATAGCACACCCTGCCCATGCTAGAGCCTGACTCTGGCACTTTCAACCAGTTTTCAAGCCTCTTTTATCCTTCCTTGACTTGCAACATGAGTGTAAAACACAAAAATAAAAGAAAATAATGGTTTAAAGATGGGAAAAAAAATGAAAAATACAAAAAAAAATTTGCAAAGGAAAAGAAAGAAAAATGATGGGTTGCCTCCCATTAGCGTTTTGTTTAAAGTCTTTAAACTCGATTTTTTAGAAGTTTGTCAAATAACGGCTTTCGTCCATAGTATGTATCATGTAATATCACAAATGAGTCTTGGTTGAAAATGCCCTCAAGATTGACTATTTTGAGAAAATTTATGCTCATCTTATCAACAACATGAGAAATTTAATGCTCATCTTATCAACAACATGCCTCGCTTCCAATGATGAACTTAGATAGTATGTATCATGTAATATCACAAATGAGTCTTGGTTGAAAATGCCCTCAAGATTGACTATTTTGAGAAAATTTATGCTCATCTTATCAACAACATCTCGCTTCAAATGATGAACTTAGGGAAAGAACTGCATTAGAGTATGGAGAACACAATTTATTGAAAGTGGTATCATTGGAAAAAAAAAAGATCTTCCGGTGGTATATGTATAAAAACCATTGATGAGCTCAAATCAATAGTCTCAATTATTTTCTCATCCACCAATATTGCTTTCTGCTTGTCTTTATTTAAAATTTCACCCAATACCCCTTCCAGTTGTACATTACTTTCTTCATTATCATTAACAGTTGTGTCTGAAAATAATAAAGGGAGACTTAATTTGTCTTCAAAGGAGCTGTATTCTTCACATGTAGGCTTTACTTCTTCTAAAGGTGCAATGTCCCATGAAGTTTCCTCATAATTTACCTTGCAGTCATCATCTTGTTATCTATTAGCTACCATTGTTGCCAATTGTGCTGCTTGTACCTACAAATTCTTCATTATCTCTTGTTGGATCTTAAAACTCTCACGGGTTTCATGCATAAATTTCATATGAGATTTAGTAAGAGCAGCAATCACATCCTCTACATTCTTCTGCTTATCTTCTTCACACTCAAAATTTGGAGGGTATTGGTGATTCCAACCCTGGTGTATCATTTAACATGTAAAGTATATCTCCATAGCTACTTTTCGAAAGGTGGATGCTGGTTGCCGAAAATCCATTATCTACCCAACTTCTTGTTTCTTCATCTAATCCAAAATAGAATATGTAAGTGAGAGATTTATTTGTGAAATTATAATAAGGAAATCTCTCCAGCAATCAGTTAAATCTTGCCTAAGCGGCATAAAATGGCTCTGAATGTTGTTGAATAAAACTTGCGACTACTTATCGATGAAACAT